TATTCAGCCGTTTCTAAATAGGATACTTAGTAATACTATTTTTCCTTTTCTCCCTTCGTTTAGGGGACTCCAATTTTGGACTCGTGGAAAGCAAGCTTTTTATATTTTATAGACAGTCCGCGTCCTCTTTGGAGCAGTTAACATGCTTGGCTTCAATAAGAAGTAAACTTAATTAATTTATGAGGGCGTTAAGTGTCAGAACCCGTTTTAATTTTAATCAGAACGGCTTGAAAGTAATTATATTGAGATTTAAAGGCAAAATATGTAGAAAAATCGGATACAAATAGTATAAAATAGACAATGCTAATCAACCCAAACCTAAATAAGACGGGGCATATAAAGCATAGACCACATAAAGACAAGCATATTCAAGTGATATAGCGAATAGCAGATTTCAACTTACAAGAGTTCGGCGTAATTGCTCATTACGACGGGCAAAGTAAGCTCACGCCAAGCAGGATGAGTAGAATTAATTATTAAGCTGACCTGAAGGGGAGTTAGTTGATAAGATACAATGGCAGCGGGCAAGTAGAATCCATGATTAGCATCTGGAGGAAACTCGTTCCATCTTTGGAGAAGCTTCTTAAAACCGTATGATATAATAAGTTGACTTTTAGGGGGCAAGTCTATTAAGAGTTCTATTGTGGACATGCGCTGCCTCATCATTCCTGGTAGGAAATGAATTTTCTCTAAATTCATTTTAAAGAATGTTTGAGATTTTTATAATAATGATTAAACATATAGACTAAAAAATCGGTCAAAAATACATTAGTGAAGACTTACGGGGCGATACAATCTTGCTGCCAATGTTTAGTTTGAGACGACTTAGGTAAAATTGAGCAAATGGAGGTAAGAAGTCCAAGTAAATGCATGGCACAGAAAATGGAGCATGACTAGTGATGACAGCCCGGATGCCACCATAGGAATTACCTAGTCCAGTAGAGTATTTGGTGACTATAATTAGGGGCTTATGAGTGGAATTTACAATCCCATTCGAGTATATAAGAATTTTGTTGAAGGAGGGTTCAGAAAACAGCAACTCAGATGTATTGATGGTGTAAATAATTTTATCATTTCGGATATGAAGTGCAGATTCCGGCAAACCAGATACGGTGATATGTTCAGTTGAGTTAAGGATATAAATTCGACTTGTATCGGCAACTGGACAAAGATTCTTAATCGTTCCGCCCAGCAAAGCG